CCATGACCCGATTCTCAACTTATAGGCTCCCTTGCCCCCTTTACCTCCCCTACCTCCCATCCCACCCCCTAACCCCGACCCTACACTATGCCCTACCCGAGGACATGCCCTTAATCTATCATCCCAAACTGCAGCTACTATACCTACGACAATCTAAATAAGACTCGCTAGTGCACAACGGACAACGAATCAAACTAGAAGGAAACAAGTGACTACTAGTACATTAGTAGAATGATTGAACTGAACTATTGTGAACTAAAGTAACATCAATTTAGCTAACACCAAAAGAGAACGGGAGGTACCAACTCCTGAGAACCAAACTTGTGTTTATTTGCTATACTCGATGTAGTTGTACGCTCACACACCGCTTCCCACCACCTTTTGCTGACGCCCGTCCAGGTTGCTCTCCTTTGCTAGTACTCGTGCGCCCAACTTGTCTCCAACACTTCGAGAATTTCCCTGAAAACACCGAAAAACCATGACCCAAAGACCAAAAAGAGGGCAGTCACCGCTACCACTGGTGTAGCCCTGACAGTAGTAGGGAAAATGTGGGGAGAAAGCAAAGAACTACACAAAATTCACCAAGTTCTACCGTAGTACAACAAAATGAACAGATCAAAACTATACCCTCAAGAAAAATAAATCAAACCCGGAATCTGAAAATAAATCAAATCTAGAAAGAACAAAAGGAAAATAAGTGAGAAATTATTTTAAAAAAGGTACTATACCTGAAGAAACAAATTGATTTTGAGTGCAACCCAAATATCAAAATTCGATTTTGAGCAAAACCCAAAAACCAAAATTTTATTTTGAGCAAAACCCAGCTAACAATTTCGATTATTGAGCGAAACCAAGATAACAAATTCGAGATTGAGCAAAACCCAGATGAGAAAATTCAATGTTGAGCAAAACCCAGTTAACAGAAATTCGATTTTGAGCCAAACCCAGATGCCAAAATTCGGTTTTGAGCAAAACCCAGATAATAAAATGCTTACCAGGATTTTCAAGCTCCGATAGTGAACCAGATCGACGGACTGAGTGAGCTTACTCAGAAAAACGAGATCGGGGATCGGGAGAATCAACAAAATGAAAAGGAACAAAGGAGATTCAAAGTATGAGATCGCTGAAAAACTTACTGGATAGCGTGAGATTCCGGCACCGGTGGTAAGATGGTCAGATTTACAAGGCTTCTCCACAATTCAAATTAAGATAAACCAAAAATCCAGTTTTCGCACTACTAAATACTCTTCTGAATCACTTATCCCAACTAAAAAAGAAAAGGAAGAAACTCTACTGAATTATTTTTGACCAAATTCAAACTCTACGCGATTAATGATGGAGAGAAAAAAAAGAAGAAAGGATCAGTGTGAAATAGAATAAAAATCAACAAATTTGAAGGAAGAAAGCCGATCAAACTTGTACCCACTTTTTAAATAACTTCAGCCCCCTTTCTCCTCCTCCTTCTTCTTCTTCTTCTTCTTCTTCTTCTTCTTCTTCTTCTTCTTCTTCTTCTTCTTTCTTCTGCTGCTATTTTCTATCTAGTCTACTAGTCTAATACCTTAGAGAAAAGATGATCTGCTGGTGCAATATGTTTTTTTTTTTGCTTGCTAAAAGGTGCAATAGGTTGACTTTGCTTACAAAATCTCATGCTTAAATGATTTTCATGTGATATTGTGTGACTGCTACCGTTTGTGAAGGCGAGATATTGCACCAGAAGCTTATTTTCTATCTAGCTTTTACTCCTGGATGATGAACTTCAGGTTTGTATATTATGTCATCGTTCCATTGAAAAGAAAGGAACAGAACTGGGCCATAACAATTGCAGTAAAAGAATCCAGGTAAAAATTATATGAAAAGAGTGTCATTTAGGGTAGTAAACATACAATGGNCCAGAAGCTTATTTTCTATCTAGCTTTTACTCCTGGATGATGAACTTCAGGTTTGTATATTATGTCATCGTTCCATTGAAAGAAAAGGAACTGAGAACTGGGCCATAACAATTGCAGTAAAAGAATCCAGGTAAAAATTATATGAAAAGAGTGTCATTTGGGGTAGTAAACATACAATGAACTGCTCAAGGAACAAAGGCTGTCGAACATGAATTGCTCACCAAGAGTAAATGGAGCTCACGTGCTTTTGGAGTACAAAGCACAAAGCTGTCTCCATTGATCACCTCAAGGAATCAAAAGGAGTGCAGCGAGGAAAGAAGACGCAGTTAGCGCACAGAAGACATTTATGATGTTCATCTTGACGAAAGATTAATGGGAGCTGGGGCGTGATCGAACACGGAGGATCGGCAGTCCCAAAACAACAGGCACATGCTTGGATAAAGTCTTATATTTCAAAGTTTAATAGCTTTAATGTTATATCAATGTTGAGTGCAACACTCAATTTTGATAATAAGATATTTGTTAAATTCAAACTCTATTTCGTTCATTACGTAGGATATCTTGACATTGTATTTTGTCGTTTATCATGTTATAAATAAAACTAACCCTAGGCGTTTGCCTAGCGGATTGAAAAAAAAACATACAATGAACTAAATAACTTCATCTCTATAGCTGAAATTTCCCAGTTACAAAGACAAAAACTTCAGCTCTAGAGTTGAAGTTCGCCAGTTATAAAATAAAAACTTCAGCTCTAGAGCCTACAAGGGTGAGGCAACAAGGGTGAGACAAATCACACATGGAATCTAGTCAGCTTTTATCAAAGTGGAATAAAAGAAATAGAATTGGAAGACCAAAATGGAACAAGGCTAAATTAAAGTGCCAAAATAAAAAATTAGACCAAAGTTTAATGGGTTGTCTATGTATTTGGCCAAGGAAAAACAAGCGAACTCACATAATCTAGGTGTACCGTGTACCTATTTTGACCCTATAATAATGAAACATTTTAAATGTACAAAAAGCAAAAAGAAAGAAAAGGAAACAAGATGAAGATGGGCATCGAAGTGTCAGTATTCAAACTTAAGGGGTCTAAGCGGCTATCTAACCCCTCTTAATTTATTTGCTTTGCTTAACGCATTTTGTTTCTTCTTCTTCTTGATACCCTAGAGCTGCCCTTGGATGTCGTTGGGAGCAAAACGTAATGGCTTCTCTGTTCAAGGTAATATGAACGCCAGTGTTCTTTGGCTTTTCCAGTGTGCTGTATACCTGGGGTGTTTGTTCAATAAACAATTTGTCCAGTGATATAATGTTCTTAGGTTGTGTTTTCGGTGGATTGTGCTAATGCCGGGGGTGGGTGGGTCTGCGCCGCCTTCTCTGCTGTTTCTTTCTCTTAGGATTTAGCCAAAATTTCAGCATATAGGGATCGAAGGTTTCCAGGAACACAAGAAGAATTTGAAGATGCTTTGCTAAAGGCGACAACTGTTTATGTGGGGAACATGTCCTTTTACACAACAGAGGAGCAAGTATATGAGCTGTTCTCTCGTGCTGGAGAGATTAAAAAGATAGTTATGGGATTGGATAAGAATTGCAAAACTCCTTGCGGGTTCTGCTTTGTAATGTATGGCCTGAACCTTGCTTTCAGTCTCCCATTTCTTCCATTTTGTGTTGTTAACTTTAAACTGTATAATTTCTTCTCCAATTATGGTACTCATGCTTCAGCTTTAACCAGTTCCTTCTAGTTTTTTAGAATCATGTGCTCCATCTCTACTTAATAAGTACTCTGAAGATTATTAAAGATGCTTAATACCACAATAATTTGATCCGATCAGTCGAATGTACCCATTTGATCTGATTCAGTGTAGTGGTTAATGTAATTTGATACGCTCTCTATAGTTACCTTAGCATATTATGTGTCATTTACTAAGTCTGACTTCCATTTGATGCAGTCAAAGAAGGCCTAGGTTTTCCAACGAAGGTCAAGATACATGGTAGAGGCAAGGGGTCAATATATATATTTTTTGTTTTTCTTTTTTTGTGCGAAGTTCACTGTGTTAGTTTAAGGCCAATGACATAGGCATAATTCAAGACTGATGTCTGCCGAATAGACACTGTACGAGTAGACGTTTCAACATATAGGGTTCAAGCTGAGAGGTGCTATTAAATTTGTGTTAAGATAGGATGATATGAAGGTGGCTTGAGAGGGAACGATGGGTCTAGATGTACGAGGAAAAGCTAAATTAAAAAGAAGCAGTACGATTGGAAGAGCACATTGCATTGAGCTGTATAATTCGAATGTCTAATGTTCTTAGGGCTTGTGAAACAAAAGGATGGAGGCAAGATTATAATATCAAGGCTTTGGTTAATACTGCTGGATAAGTATGGAGTTAGCTATTGAGAGTAGAGAAGGTATTAGGCAGAGTTCTAGGGAAGTCAGCACTATGGAAAAAGATTTGGATCTTTTGAAGAAAGACCTAGGATATCTTAAAAGGAAAAAAGCCAAAAAGATTGAAACAACAATAACATACCCAGTATAATCTCACAATTGGGGTCTGGGGAGGGTAGTGTGTACGCAGGCTTTATCCCTACCTCGTGGAGGTAGAGAGGCTGTTTCCGAAGACCCTCGGCTCAAGGACAAAATGAAAAGGAGCAGTAACAATAAGCAGTAACAACATCGATATAGTAAAATAACTAAAGCAAATGAAATAACAGGTAGGAATATAGCTCTACGAATAGGAAAGACGAAAAAAAGAAAAAAAAGAAAAAATGACTACAAGACTAATACTACTGCCACTAGTATGATAAAG